GCCTAGACCCTTCATTTCTGAAGAAGGGTCTAGGCCCGAAACGTCAGCCTTCCTGCTCCTCTGATGCTGCTTGGCCTGCTGTGTTCATCCAGCTCTACACCTTGTTATCTCAGTTCCACTGTTCTTCAGTCGTGTTACAGCCAATTCGCATTAATGAAACACATGTTATCGCAGAACTACCTGTATTGCGTTTTGGTAAAACTAACAAGGACAGGGCTTATACAATTAAAAGTAGCAACTTGGGTAGTGTTGTAGGACAGAGAGACCAAAAGGTTCAGGTATATAATTCTTTGAAGTTTGCAGCACATGTAGACATGGTGGTTTAAGAAGGCGTTTATCACACTTGCCTTTGTTGCTCAGTGCTTTGAATATTGGATTTGAGACGTCATGTTGACGTTGTACAGGACGTTGGTGAGGCCTCTTCTGGAATACTGTGTGCAGTTCTGGTTGCCCTGTTTTGGAGGAAAATTATTAAGCTGGAGAGGGTTTAGAAAAGATTTACCAGGACTAGTGCGATGCAAGGAATGGTGGGTTTGAGCTATAAGGAAAGACTGGATAGGCTGGGACTTGTTTCACTGGAATGTAAGAGGTGGAGGGGTGACCTTAGAGAGGTTTATAAAATCATGAGAGGTATAGGTAAAGTGAATGACAGGTGTCTTTTCTCTAGGGTGGGGGATTTCAAGACGGGGGCCATATTTTTAAGGTGAGAGGAGAAAGATTTTAAAATGAAACAAGGAGGAATTGTCTTACGCAGACAGTGGTTCATGTGTGGAATCAACTTCCAAAGGAAGTGGTGGATGCAGGTACAGTTACAATGTTTAATAGACATTTGGATAAGTACGTGAATAAGAAATGTTTGGAGGGATATGGGCCAAATGTAGGTAGGTGGGACAAGTTTAGTTTGGGATTATGGTCGGCGTGGCCTGGTTGGTCCGAAGGGTCTGTTTCTGTGCTGTATGACTCTATGAATGGATATTTGACCCTTTGAGCCATTCAACCATTGAATAAGACCATGGCTATTCTAATTGATTATCTAGATTTTGCACTACTTTTACTTTGCTGATCTGGAGGGAACAGGAGGTATATGTGTATTATATGTTCATGATTTTTATTTTAAATTTTAAGAATGCAGTGGATGCAGAATACTCGCTTCTGTGTTCTGTATATAACCAAGGGAGGTATAAAATGCTTTTCTTTGAATGTTAATTAAAAAAGGCAATCTAAGGTTTAAGCAAAGAAGTAGCTTCTTTGCTATGCTCTGCAAGGAGGATTAATTCACTCCTGAAGGTGTGCTTAGATACTTCCCAATATATGAACTAGTTTATGGTTGTATGTTTAGGGAGGCCAACTACATTTTCAGAAGTCCATTTAATCCAAGGGCTGTTATGATGTAATGCCAGAGTGGACAAACATTAGCAAAGGGGATGCAGATGTTATTGTTCTGATTGCCACATCATGTGACTATTTTTAAATCAGTTTGTGTTATTCATAAGATTTCTGGAATTTGCAGAAATGCTGGGTGTGTGACATTTGTACTTGCCGCCCAATTGTACAGTGAAATCTGTTCAAACTTGAAGCGAGCTTGGTGAGAACAATAAAAGAGTTAGCTCATTCATTCAGCACCTTCCTTACAACTCTCAAACATCCCAAAACATGGAATATAATTAATCAGAATTGCAATTGCTCTTGTTACGTCACTAAACAGGACAAGTAGTTTGCAGATGTAGGAGTAGTTATTAGTGATAATGGCGTGTCACTAGTAGTGGCAGTAACTTGAGCTGACTACCGTTGCACAATATCAGTGTTTTTTGACTTGAATCGCTTCATCCTGTCTATATTGGGCTGTTTTGCAGTTTACAGATTGTCCTGTAGATTAGTAAATTGAGTGCATGATGTGGTAATAAGTCATACATACCCAGAAAGTTCACAGTTGGTTGCTGGTTTATAGTTAGCTAACTAACTTCAACAAAGGCAGAGGTTACATTGCCCTAGAGCCCAAGTTTAGGGGTAACAGTACCATTCAGTCATGATCAGTATCAGCCATCACTCACTTGGCAGTGCTCCTGCCTCTGAGTCATAACGTTCCATGTTCAAGTCTCTCCAGGCCTCCAGCACAAAAATCTATGCAAATACGCTTGTGCTGTAGCGAGGAAGAGCTGCACTGTGGGAGGTGCGATGTTTCGGAAGAGAGGTTAAACTTAGACTCAAGCTGCTGCCAGGGATAGGTTTAAAAGATCTCCTGATCCACTCTTTCAACAACAAACAGGTAAGTTCTCTCTGATATCTTGGTTAAAACTTATCCCTTGATCATCAGCATGAAAGAAAGTATTATTATTTGTTACCACATTGCTGCTTATGGGAGCTAGCCGTGCACAACTTAGCTGCGGTGTTTCCTACTTCAAATCAATGACGAAGCTGTAAAGTGATTTTGAGAGGTGTGGTGGTTGTGCAACGGACGATATAAATGCAAGTCTTTGTTGTAACGATCACTTCTGGGGGCAAACTGCTGTGTGGACAGGTTTGAGCAGGCTATATCTTCTTAACCTTTGAATTATCTGTTAACACTTAAGCTTAGGTTTGCATTTAAGAAGTGCCCATTTGAGTAATATACCTGGGTACTGTGGCTACAGTAAGATACTTGCATTTACAAAGTGCCTTTTGATATCTGTTGGATTTTCCAAAGTGCTTAACATCCATTCAAGTACATTTGAAGTGTAGCACTGTTAAAATGCAGAAAATGCAATCGTCAGTTTGTTAACAAGGCTCAACAAACAATAATGCAATAATGAACAGATCATTTGCTTCTTAGTCATATTGATTGAGAGATAAAAGTTGGAGATGTGGAGATAATGGAGCCAGGAGTTATGGAGCTGTGCCCCAGGATGGCAACATTGGAAAAAAACAAACATTAGCACAGATCATTTTTTTCGTAAAGCAGTATCTTATGTGTTGTTCCCTTGCCTTATGTTTCTAGGAGTCCTTCAACTGTCCTGTGCACTGAATCTAACAGCAGCTCTGAGACCGGCATCAAAGATTTCTCGTGGAAGAAAAACATCCTGTATCATGGTAAGGTGCCCTCAGTGGGTGTTTGTGCTTGTTCTCCATGCACTGTGGTAACATGAATAGCACATAGAGCAGAGCTGCATGATTTGTTTCCTTATGTAGCTGGTGATAAGCAGCAGGAGCTGGTCAAGAGGAAAGCTGGTTGAGATCAGAGCAGACTTTTAAGAAACAGCTGGACTAATGAGAACATGGTAGGATTGTGATTTTGGAAGTATGACAGATCATCCTTACTGGTTTAACCTTTTGTTTAAAGAACTCTTACGGTGTGGAAGTAGGCTATTCAGCCCATTGAGTCCACACTGACCCTCCCAAGAACATCCGATCCAGACTCCACACCCCCTTCCCTATCCCTGTAACCCTGCATTTCCCATGGTTAACCCACCTCGCCTGCATATCCCTGGACACTAAGGGCAGTTTGGCATGGCCAATCCACCTAATCTGCACAAGTTTGTACTGTGAGAGGGAACCTGGAGGAAACCCATGTAAACACAGGGAGAATGTGCAAACTCCACACGGACAGTCACCCAAAGGTGGAATTGAACCGGGTCCCTGGCACTGTGAGGCAGCACTGCTAACCACTGAGCCACCATGCTGCCTTTTAATGTCCCCATTCTGCACGACTTTTGTTGTATAGTTCACTTTCCTCACGTTATATGGCTTATGTTTACTGCAGTTTCTTTTTAAGAGGGGATCAGATGTTGGAGTTTGCTGGGGTGGCTCCCTAATTTATCTGTCACAAGTAGGGGTCTCATCGGAGTGGTGGTGCATCTGACAGTACAGAACCCCTTTGGTATTACACTGGATTGCAAGCTGAAATGTTTAGATTAAGTCTTTAGAATGAGACTTGAACTGAAACCTTCTGACTCAGAGAGTTCCTGATTTTTTTTTTAAAATAACATCCCAGGCACTGAAAGAGGAGTTCAGCAGATTAAAGAAATGCACGGGGGTTGAATTGAGTTAATTTGAAAAGTGTTAGGTACTGGTATAACAGATAAAAGTGGTGCCCATTTTACTCTGGTACGTCTACCAATGACAGCCATATCCAGGATTCATCTGTTAATGTTAATGTCCACAAAGGGACATGACAAAGTCTACTGTATAAAGCTGACATAAGGAACTTTTACTGTGTGCCAGCCGTGGCTGTGTTATTTTTCCCAAGTCGCAAGCTTCACTGTCCAAGTTCCATTTTAGACTGTAGAAGAAGAAACAAGGATGCTTCTCCACTAAGGGACTGTTGGACTTTTAGCAGTGCTGACTTCTGAGTGAGACTTTAAACCAAGGCCCACCTGCCTGTTCTAGTGATGTAACAGATCTCATGGCATTATTTGAAAAAAGAGCTAGGGACTTCTCCTTGGTGCCCTGACAAACCAATATCAGGTCAGTATCACATTATCTTTTGAGGGAGTTTGCAGTGTGCAAAACTGTCTGCCTACATGCCAACAGTGATTACCTTTAGAATTGGCAGTCAGCCATCTTGAATTGTCCAGTGACCATGACAAGTGCTGTATAAATATGTCTTTCATTTGATGTTTGCAGATAGCATTCAATGATTCTTTCCATCTTACTGTGGGCATTAAGAAGTCAAGAACCTACCATAGTCTATACACAGAAGATCTGTGACTCTTTCTAACCAGGCTTACTGATTTACAGTAACAGAATAAGTGAAATTCTGTGTAATACAATTAGAAGTTTTACTGCTTTTTTTTATTGGATCCTGATCAGTTGATATGAAAATGGAAAAATAATACCCTTGGTTGTGACTGATATTTTAATGATTTCTAAGAATTGTGAGGTAGTTTGGCAGCTCATTTGATATATACAAAATAGAGAAAATACAGGAGTGGTGGGAAAGGCAAGGGGTTTCTGTGACAAAATGTGATGAAGGACTCTCCTCGACCAGCCTGTGTACTGGAATTGCTTGGCTCATCTGGTTTTGATCTGTAACTTCAATGTTGAAACTTTTTCAGAGCAAATCTCTGAAATTACTTCCTCTCACTACTTCCCTATTGGTGGCACCAGGATAAAAGTAGAGGCATTTATAAAGAGGATCCCAACCATTCAAGAGATAAACTACAGAATATTAAACTTTCTTCTCTTCCAGTAGTTGAGGAGTTCTTGCATCCCAAAATGATCTGAACTTAGACAAAAACTGAAAGATCTGTTGGAAATCACAAACAAAAACGGAAATTACTGGAAAATTTCAGCAGGTCTGGCAGCATCTCTGGAGAGAAGAGAGTTAACGTTTCAGGTCACTGTACCTTCTAGATTGGCAGCTGGGATAAGTTTGCACTGTAGAGAAATTTGGCCCAATGTCGCAGGCCAAGGGTAACATTTTCTTCATTTCTATGGAAATGTAAGCAGTGCCTACCAGATTATTCAGGGTGATCTGTCAGAAAAGGTTCTTCGGAAATGTACGGATGATATCCAGATGCTCATGGTGTTGAATGGTAAGCATGTGAGGAGCAAGTTTTGAAGTCTCTTCCCCCTACACTCTGGCCTCACCAGATCTCACACCTATGAGACACTCCTCTGGCTGTGCCACCTTTGGGCCAAGCATGGTCAGGCAACCAAAGAAATGTGATGACAAATGCCTTTGTTGTTCATTTGTCCTTTTGCCCTCACTGCAAGGTACCTGACCTTTCTCTGATTGGGACCAAAACCAAATGGAATGGAGGCAAAAAGAGATTGGAAAGAAAGCTATCAGTAGGATTATTTCTATCCACACCACTTAACAGCTGGTTTCAGAAAAGCACCAACAGAAGCCTAGAAGCAACTTGACTGTTTTCACTCCTGGTGACTGGTGCAAGGCATGAGGATTTGTAAAAAGGGGTGTGGAAATAATGATCTAAAATTTACGTTGAACCAACCTTACTGAATTTTTTGAAGTAACAGAAAGAGTTGACAAGAACAACACAGAGGATGTGGTAAACCTAAAATACGAAATTGGCTTAACGCAGAGAACAGAGAGTGGTGGCGGAGGGTTGTTTTTCGAACTGGAGACGTGTGACCAGTGGTGTTCTACAGGGATCGGTGCTTGGTCTACTTTCGTTCATCATTTATTAAATGATTTAGATGAGAATGTAGAAGACATGATTAGTAATTTTGTGGATGACACCAAAATTAGAGGTATAGTTGGTGGTGAAGAAGGTTATCTAAGATTACAAAGAGATTTTAATCAAATGTGTCAGTGGGCTGAGGAGTGGCAGATGGAGGTTAATTTGGATAAATTTGAGGTATTGCATTTTGGTAAAACAAACAAGGGGAAGACTTATACAATTAAAGGTAGGGCCTTGAGTAGTGTTGTAGAGCAGAGGGACCTAGGGGTTCAGGTACATAATTCTTTGAAGTTTGCGTCACATGTGGACAGAATGGTTAAAATGGTGTTTAACACGCTTGTTTAAAAGACATTTGGATAAGTACATGAATAAGAAAGGTTTGGAGGGATATGTGCCAGCAGCTGGGACTAGTTTAGTTTGGGATTATGGTTGGCATGGATTGTTTGGACCGAAGGGTCTGTTTCCGTGCTGTAAGAATCTATGACTGTTTGATAATTTTCCTTCCAATGTAATTGATTTGGACATAGATCATGACTTCTAGCTTTTTCCATTCTCCTCCCCCCCACTCCTTCTGTCTAGTACCCCCTTCTACCCTGTCCAAATTTTCTACACCCTCTGTGCTGCTGTTTATTCTGATAACAGGGAAGCACCACACCCAGTGTGACTTCTGATGATGGCCGCAGAAAGGCCTGTCTGTATCTTGATTATTGAAGCCACAATGGATATTTTCTCATCAACCTGTTCGGAAATGTTATTGGAGACCTCTGGAGTAGTTGGGACTTGAACTCAGGCCTTCTGATGCAGAGATAGCCTTCCTAAAGTTTACTGTTACATCCAGTACAGTCCTTCAGCTTGCCATGCTCCAGATTGCAGTCCTTTGAGATGTTGTTACCCTCTCTGGCATTCATTACTGAAAACGAGTTAGTGAGGTGTAATGCAGGGACTAAGTATAATGGCCATGGTAGCTGAAGTCGGAGTCCAAGAAACAGAAAAAATTGGAACATACCTATAAAACAGAAAACAGGATAAGAATTAAGGGAAGATTTCTCAGATTGGCAAGAATTGGGAAATGGAATCACTGGGATCCACACACTTTTGTTGAACTTGTACCTAATGGATTTCAACAGAGGAGTTAGAATATGTTAACAATTTATAGTCGGTGTGATGGCTACAGCTAATAATATGAAGGACTGCACCATAATCCAGAAAAACAAACAGACTTGAAGACTGGGAAATAAATTGAAATTAAAATTTATTTTGTCAAGTATGAGGAGGCTATTTATGTCTTTAGAAGGTAGAAAACTAAATAAGACTGAGGAGCAGAGCGATCTGGAAATATAAACACAAATATCTCTAAAAGTAGCAATGCAAGTTGATATAACTGTAAGGAATGCAATATAATTCATTTCTAGGGGATTAGCATACAAAAGCAGAGACAGTTCTACGTTTATATAGAGACTTGTTTAGAATGTGCTTGAAGTTCTGTATGCAGCTCTGAGCAAACGCAACAGTGAAGTATTGGAGATGGTGCAGACAAGATGTATAAGGATGAGACTAGAATTGTGAGGATGCAACAATGAAGAACAGTTGAGTAAACGGGCACTCCTTTCTCTCAGAAGGAGCAGGGGGAGAGGAGGCCTGATAGAATTTTAATTTTAAATTAAGAAAGGCTTTGATAGTACAGACATGGAAAAACTGTTTCCATTTGTGGCAGCCTAGAAGAAGTGGGCAGACATACAAATTAATCACCATCAGATCAAATAATAATTTCAGACAGCGCAAAATATGTAGAACACACTGTCACAGGAGTAATTGAGGCAGATGTATTATATCTAAGGGCAAATCAGCAATTACATGAACACTAGGATATGGGAACAGGGTGGGAAGAGGTTTTTAAAGTTGGTGAAGGCTTCTATAAAGCATAATCACTTTTGTTGGGTTGACTGG